AGAGTTTAACCTAATCACTATGAAATAATGAGTTCTACAGAGTGTATCCACTTATCCCAGGTCATAGCTGCTTGGTTCTTGCCCCTACTTAAATTTTGGCTCTTCATTGAGTTTCTGACATACAGCTTGTGTTCTTTGCCAGACCGTGAAAGAAAAGAAATTACAAAATTTCCATTGATTTCAATCAGCTCAGGATATCACCTCATCACATAATTATTTTCAAGCGGCATGTATGCATAGTGTATTGATCTACCAGCAAAAGTTGATGTTTTCCTCAATGCCCACTGCTTGTTTTTGAATTGAATGTTATCTTTCTGTTTTTTTCCCAACAGCAGATTTATACCTGGTGTTAAAAAGCATGGAAAACTCTGGGCTCCTAGAACCAGAGGAGTTGACTAAAATATGACTGGACAGGAGGTACATGAAAAGGAGGCTATGTGAAGCATGTAGGTCCCACATTTGATAGCGTCTTCTGTTCTGTGTTTTTAATCCAGATTTCTCTAATTCATTCTTTAGCATCTACAAAGTATGCATGCTAATGTAATGTCCTCAAAAATCCACCCAAGGGAAACTAAACAATGTGCTATGAACCTTCAGACAGTAATGGTTGTATACTAAGTATGCTTTTGGCTCTACGTATGCCTATAGTCTAATGAGCCTTGACTAGGGCTTACTTCAGTAGTCTAAAACTCCCAGTATCTTCAAAGATCAACCAGCACTAAGTAAAGATCATTTTGTAAGAACTTTCTTCTCATGCTGTTCCTGGATAAAGTCAACATTAATTGTCCTAATATTAGGAACTGTATAGGAAGTATTTAGTCTTGAAAAAAGGCAGGTAGAAATTGCTGTTTCCTGACCATTCTGCTGTTGACTAGGAAGTTTTCCTTACTTGGAAAACATGGAGGGTCCTTAAGCAGATATTTACAGTGACATTTTTACTGGCAGAAAGGTTATAAACTTTATAAACTTGTGAAATTTATTTTTCAGTACTCTTTTCATTTTAAGGCTAAATCAGCTGAACTCAAAGTAAAAGGCTATGAAAAAAGTAAGGCGCTTATGGAATAGTTTAGCTGGATTCAATGTGTATCTCTTCGAGAGAAAATTTTGTGTGGAGAACAGATGGTAGTGCAGAATAAAGGCTTGCTTGGCACACAGCTGGCTGACCCACAGCCATTTTTGTGACGTATTGTACCAACATGTATTTCATTCTGTCACACACATTTAATGCCTTTTTTTAGGGATGGACCTCATAGCAATACAAAGCCTAAGAAAATCTAAGGATATGCACAGACTTCACTGTTGTTCCTCTAGTCAATGAGTACAGAACATCCTAATAACATTTCCAATATGTCAATGAAATTATTTTTTGTCCTGAGTCAAGTCTACACTGACTCTTTCTGCTATTCACTTCACAAAAACATTCCACTGTTTCTATTCTCTTAATTCTACCCTTGGATGCTCTTTTGTTCTTTGATGTAGAAACAGTATACTCTTGAAAGTCTGCAGGAACTGCTTTACTGGTATACAGCCTGCTGTACCTTGTTAGCCTTGCAATCAGATGAAGCAGCAGAATAACATTATTACTGTAAGGGCCCATTTGTCAGGCAACTTTCTGGAAGTTTCATTTTTCTGATAGTGGGCTTTCTGTGGCTCTTCAAAAAACAAACAACCTCTCTGCCCCCAAAAATTCTGTAATCAACACCTGGCTACAATCCCCAACACAGAGGTACTAATTGGAAGCATAACTGAAAAGGTCAGGCTATTTCAAGACAAGAACAGAATGCAAGATTATAGGCAAAAATTAGGCTTGGACGTGCAGCAGGGGCTAGAAAAATGAGTAGAAAAGCTGCTGCAGTACTTTAATATTCTCCTTGAAAGGTCCTCTGGGCTGCACATTAACCTTTGACCTTAGTTTGTACACCTAGGGGACTAATTTAGTACGGTTTTTTGTACCACATTAACTAGCTGCTGTGTATAGCACTGAGAATTTAACAGGAAAGTAAACATTTTCTTACTGGGATTTTGGGCATATGGCAGTAGTCCTTTTTCCTTCCTTGTCTGACAAATTGGGAGTGACTTTGATTTTTGGAGACATTTTTAATGATGTGCCTTTGATGTTCTGTAAAACCACTGAGTTAAAAATGAATATAGCCCCAAGCAGACATAAACTATGTTTCCTCCTACGCAACATGGCAACAAAACTGTTTATCCTGTTTCACTGTATAATTATTACAGTTTTTCACTCGTGTTCATTTTGGCTCTGATGTTTCTTCTTCGATGCCTAGTGGAAAGTTTATTCAGTGCTTCTGTCCTAGTGCTTGCCTTTGAAAATGCTGGGGAATTTTAGAATCAATCTTTGAATGAAAGAAGCTGGCTACAAGTTATGGGAAACAGGAAGTGTTAGATTGCTTTTATCTTTTAAAATATGGTCAGCAATTTGGGGTTTTTCTGTTTAAAAAACAAACCCCAGAAATTAATATTGTTATTCTTTATTTCATTGATTTTAATTTCATCTATTGCATCTGAGGACAATATCTGTTATACCAGTTTTTGGAGGGCTTTCATCCATTGCTTCTTGAAAACACTCCTAGTAACTCCTCATATTTAGTCCTCTTGTGCTCTGAAGGACATTAAAAGCTACGCTTTGTTTTGCATCCTGTGGTAGCATCATGAAAGGTGTTGAAAGAAGTGATAAGGTCCAGTTGCTAATAATACCAGTATCTTGAAAATATTTTAAAAAATAGGTCTACTGAATGTATTGAAATAAAAGGCTGAAGGCTTTGCAGATGGATGATCACATTGTATATGGCTTTTTCGTAAGTTTCAATGCCTTGTTAATGAGAAACTGATTTTCAGTTTCATGTTCATTGCACTCACTTGGATGAACATACAGTGCTTATAGATCAAAATACGTGAGTAACTGAAGGAAAGACTATCAGAAGCTTGTTTGGCAGACTCTCAGGCTTCATTCTGTGTATGTCCAGTGGCCACCAATCAAATGAATGGCTGTGGAATACGTAGACTGATTTTGGACTTAAGCAAAAACGTTGACCTCATGAGTAGAAAAATCCTCATTGACCAAAGTCAAGTTTTTATTCGTTTTCTTTGGCAACTTTCCACTCTCCCTGAGGGGAAATCCAGAGACATGAAATAAATGTGTGGATCCATATTCCAGCACTCCATCAATAGCAGACTGAACCTGACAGGTATAGCCTAGGGAGGAAAGAGAAGCTTTCATAAAGGCTAAGTAGCACAGCCTGAAACACTCAGGAAATAAGACAACTTGAAAAACCATTTAAAAATGAACAGGGAGGAAAAAAGCAGTACAGTTACCAGTTTTTAGATGGGAAAAATCCTTTTTTTGGGTGGAAGGAGGTCCCAGTAAATCAACACTGAAGTCTAGTTCCAAACATTGATTGAAACTGAAATACGGAAGTATTAACCAAACTTTAAATAAAGGCATAAAGGTTTATAACATCAGCAGAACTGATTGTTCAGTAGATTTCTGGCTGTTGGTATCTTACGCTTTTGTAAAAGATGCTAATCCCTTTAGAATCCTGTTCTTTTATGTTGTTGACCAAGTTATCTGCTGTTTTAGGCTCTGAGGCTCCAGGGGGAGCCAAATACATTTCCACCTTATGGGGAGACTGTAGATGTGGTTATATACTCAGGATTGTTTTCTCTAGGGGTGGTCTAACTCGTTGCACAGAGTGAGATGAGGCACAGTCAGTAGAGCAGAGGTATGCACTGGAGTCTGCCATGGTAAGGAAGATGAGAAACCCCATCACTGGTTTTGTACTTATGTCGTGATTAGCTCCACATGCACGAGATACCCGGAAAATACAACCACTGTGGGAGACAATGGACAGAAACTAGAGCAACAGAGAAGGCTTTAATCAAGTAGTCTAGAGTAAATATCTGAAGTATGCCTGCATGAATTTTCATAAGAGAATCAATATGACTGTCCATATTATGGCACAAGCCATTTGGTTTGCAGTGCTGCTGCAGCTGTTAATTTTCCTGATGCATGAGAATGTGCTGCCTCTGGCTGAATGCAGCTGGATTTATTCACTGAATTTAATACTCCTACTTTTTTACATGTACAACCCTAGAGGATAAATTCTTTAATCGCATTCAGTAATACACACAAGTATGAATTTCTTATGCAAAACTATGCAAGATCTACTGTGCTAGTTTGCTAAATAAACTTAATTCCACCTGTGAGATGCTCTACCTGGGGGATGCTTTCACTCTGAGGGTGACGGAGCGCTGGAGCAGGCTGCCCAGGGAGGTTGTGGAGTCTTCTTCTCTGGAGATATTCAAGACCCGCCTGGACAAGGTCCTGTGCAGCCTGCTGTAGGTGACCCTGCTTTGGCAGGAGGGTTGGACTAGATGACCCACAGAAGTCCCTTCCAACCCCTACCATTCTGTGATGCTGCATAATTTTTAGTGACTATTCCTAAGCTAGAAAGTTGCATAGTAGTGTAACTACACTAATAGATCTGTCCTGTGAATATTATATTTGGACTGCACTGGTGTTTGCTCCATGTTACTTAGTAATATGCCTTATATCAGTTTTTCGTGAAAAGTCATGAGGCAGAGTGAAATGGGAGGTCCATCTGTGCTTGTGGATGAAGTGGAAAGATGAGTCTTCTGGCCAAAGCCAGGTCAGAAGAATCATGGAAATGGCAGCACAGGAGGGACCTGAAGAGATGTCCTACTGTAGCTCATACCCTTTACTGCTGGAAATGTGGTTACATGTATCCCATTGCTGACAAGTGATAGTTGTATACAGCTGCATGTATAGTTACACAGCTGTTCCTATATGGCACTAAGCATTGCTGTTCTTACAGGTTTGGTAGGCTTTCAAAGCAACATTGCGTGAGGGTGAACGACTATCCAAGGTATTGAGAAGAAAACATGCTAACTGCTAGTAATTCCAAGGGGAAAGTGCCTCTTCAATTTTGTATTAACTGCTTGTTTTTGCTTCCCCTTATCAGAGACAAGGAACCGGAGCTTCAAATGGAAAAGACAAGACATCTGGTGAGAATGGTAAGGGCAGACATTTTCTTGATGGAGAATATTGAGTCAAATTGAGCCAAGATCTTTTTTACTGTAGCAATACATGTCAGGCAGCAGCAGTCCTTGTTTCGTATCTTATGAGTGTGTTTTAAAGACTGGAAGGGCTTCAGTGGAATTGTTTCCTTTATATTAGCATGTTCAAATTATCTGCTAATGTAGAGACCTGGTTCTGAGCTCATACTATGGTAAACCAAAGGACTCTGTAGAAGTCAGTGCAGATACAAATAAGGCTAGAGCAAGACAGTGTTAGCTATGTACAAAAAAGGACACAAGAGACTAGGTTAAATGTTATGACCAGCTGCTACATGAATGGGGAAGGTGAATGTAAATAATTAATTACAAAAGATTTGCTCATAAATGTAGTTTCTGTGGTCTGATCCCACATAACTAAAATAACAAAGTTAGAAGCCACTTGCATAGAGCTTATGTGGTTATTGCTAGAGATAGGCTATGGATTGAGAAGCTCACACGGCCGGACCGCATGGGAAATAGGCTAACTTCAACACTCTGCATAGGTGGGGGAATCTGGACTCATGCTGCACTGCTCTAAGGGATGATTCACTGTTTTTTTTGGACTCTTAAAGGGGTCAGCAGAAACCAATTTCTACCCCTTAAGTGGCACAAACAATTCTAGTTGGAAATGTTGACTTTTTTTCCAAAGACAGAAAATCAAACTGAATTTTCAGTGAAAACAGCAAGTTTTTTTTTAGCTGGAATCACAGAATGGTAGGGGTTGGAAGGGACCTCTGTGGGTCATCTAGTCCAACCCTCCTGCCGAAGCAGGGTCACCTACAGCAGGCTGCACAGGACCTTGTCCAGGTGGGTCTTGAATATCTCCAGAGAAGGAGACTCCACAACCTCCCTGGGCAGCCTGTTCCAGTGCTCCGTCACCCTCAGAGGGAAGAAGTTCTTCCTCATGTTCAGATGGAACTTCCTGTGCCTCAGTTTGTGCCCATTGCCCCTTGTCCTGTCACTGGGCACCACTGAAAAGAGCTTGGCCCCATCCTCCTGACACCCACCCTTCAGATATTTATAAGCATTTATTAGGTCCCCTCGCAGCCTTCTCTTCTTCAGGCTGAACAAGCCCAGCTCCCTCAGCCTCTCCTCGTAGGGGAGATGTTCCAGTCCCCTCACCATCCTTGTAGCCCTCCGCTGGACTCTCTCCAGTAGCTCCTCATCTTTCTTGAACTGGGGAGCCCAGAACTGGACAGAGTACTCTAGATGAGGCCTCACCAGGGCAGTGTAGAGGGGCAGGAGAACCTCCATCGTCCTGCTGGCCACACTCTTCATGATGCACCCCAGGATCCCATTGGCCTTCTTGGCAGCCAGGGCACACTGCTGGCTCATGGTTAACCTGTCGTCCACCAGGACACCCAGATCCCTCTCCACAGATCTCATTTTATTTCCTATAGGAGGCAGAAATGCTTTACACAGAAATGATCACTTGATTGAAATCCAGTTACCATCAGAAACATTTTTCAAAGGAAAACATTCTGATCAGCTTTAATTATATATTATATACCTAACTGAATATGAGGAAGCATCAGTTTGTAGACATTCATGAACAGGATGAGGATTAAACTATATAAATATGCTGTCTGCTTCTGTTTGATCATCCAGTTCTAATTAAAAAAATATGTTGTGGTAGTCCATCCCATCTACTGAAAATCAGGAGAATGTAAGTATGTTCTGTGAAAACGCAAGGGTTTTCCAAGATAAGATATTTGGGCACTTATTTTGGATATGCATTTTGGTCTTTATGTGTTGGTCTGAACAGAATTTTTGAGCCCTTTGAAGCAACACATCCTAAAACATAGAGACTTTTTTATGCTTAGTTTTCCTATTACAGAGAGGTGACTTTCCCATAAGGGCTGTTTGCATAATGTTACAGTAAATGAAATCTGAAGATGATCTCAATATGATAAAACACAAATTGGAGTGGAAAAAAGAAATATTTTGGCTTGTTGTAGTGTCTTGAATTAGTGGGAACAAATGTACCCTGACAGCAAAGCCATTTGCATTCTCAAGTTAACAGGAAAGGAAAGCAAGCAAAATTATGTTAGCTATTTGGGCAGCATGGGATGCATGTTTTTCTCTTTACTGTTTCAGCACATTATGAACTGAGCTCATTTGCCTTGAATTTCTTCACAAGTAAAATTGTCCTGTTGTCAAGTTTAGCTTAGATTTACTGATCCTGCAGTCTTTTTAAAGCAAATTCTTTCTTTCAAAGGGAATTTTGAGTAAGGGCTGCATCATTAATTCAAAAATGTATATTATTCTAGTTGTAGCGTAGTTTTAAGTATAATATTAACAGGTGGATGCACAGTTAATCCTAGACAAATAGATACCAATTATTTTTTGTAATTAAATTACAGCAAAAAACCTGTCACCTACATAAAATAGAGGAGCAGCAGGGGAGATGGAAGAAAGTCCTCTGATCTTCCTAATTCACATGCTTGCATGAAAATAAAGCAGAATCAGAACTTTGAACCTGAGATTGAATTCTAAATCAAAGAAACAGAAATATATAGCTCTTTGTTCTTACTAGCTCTGTGTAGTTAAAACTCAAGCAGAAGTGATTTACTCCTCTGAAAATTGGGGGGTGCTATAAACCTACATACACAGTATAGATCCTTTGTTACATGTCTTTTGGCTAGATGTATGCAGTGTGTCCATGTCCTAAATTTTCACTGTGGCTGTTATCAGCCTCTTCAGATGTTTGTTTCCCTATCAAAAGGAAACTTTCTCTTGTTGAAAAGGGCATGGGGGAAGAAACCAAAAACTCTCTCATCTTCTTCTTTAAAAAAGTCATGCTATGAAAATGTTTGCAAAGGCAAACTAGTCTGGTCACTGTCCTTGCTCTTGATTAAAGGATCAGGAAAAGCTGCTGAAAACTAGCCCTAACAACAAATAAAGATGCTCACCTGTTTTCAGAGTTTGTGATTCACACAGTAGTGACACTGCTATGGGTCAGGATTTGTTTGCATTGTTTGTAGAAACTGAATTTTGGGCCCATCTCTAGGCTGGCTCAGAACTGGAGAAAATAAAACTAATGACCTTGGCAATCGGCATTCTTCCTCTTTGAAGACATATGTGGCATTACTGTTGCTGTAAAGCATTCAGGGAAATTAAATCGCTGAAGATTCCTTTAATAGTAGTGATAGTTTTGGTAGATGCTTACAGTAGCATGTTCTTGTTTGACCTTTGTTAGAGAGCAACATTATATCCTTAGTTTTATTTACTTCTTACCAACACAGCAATGGTCTCTCTTAGTTAGCCTTTCTTCCAGCCTTTTGTCACAGGCACTGCCTCATTCTAGCAGTCTTGCTTTGTTGGCCAAGGGGGGTGAGCAATGGAAGAGACTGAGCTTCAGAAAAGCCAGTAGTCTGGGGCAGTGATATGCCACAGTACAAGACTTTGTGATAATGGAAGAAGAAAATCCCATACCCAAACTATATTGGCTATCATGTTGATGAATGGACTGTTGTACCTACATGGGACCTTCATTCATCAGCAGTTGTCTTCTCTCAGCTGCTTTCTTGAAGAGTTTTCCAGACTGCTAGGTGGTAAGGTGTGGGGGACAAAGCTTCCTCTTCTTTTTCAGAGCACTGGTCATTGGCAGACAGGATTCCTCTCTGCTGTATTTTGTATTATATATACCACCATATCTTCCTGGGTTTTATGCAGCAACGAGCCTGGTAGTTCTTGAAGCTGTATCAGTATTATAAATACCAAATGACCACTCGTGTTGGAGTAACTTTTATCACACTGAGAGTTTTGCTGTTAACTTTCAATGGCCTCACTGGATGCTGGTCAAGCCCTAGATGACTCCTGTCTATCTTGACCTTTTAAACAAGTTTTAGTTTTTTCTTGCACAGTTATGGTCAAAATCAGATGGTGATTCATGTCTTGCTAATGAAGCATGACTATTGCATTACAGTGTGCTCTCATGGTACATCAGTGGCTAGTGAAGTCAATCGAAGAGCTCCTGGTAGCTTCAGTGGGCGTTGTATAATGCTGAGTAGCTTTTCCATCCAAAACATACTGTATTGCTGTCAGCGAAGTCTATGTAACTTCATACTGTTGTCAAAGTGGAGAAAACAAAAATTATTGGGACTAAATTACATAAACTAGCTTTCCTGAGTGAAAACTGGTCAAAGGACTATATTTGAAGAAACACAAGCCTAATAATTAGCAGTAATACTATGCATACAGAAGCACCTGTGTTAAAACAGCTTGTATGTAGCCATGTAAGTGTAGCTGCCATAACCTCCTTGGGTCTCGAAGGACCTCAGTCTGTCTGAAAGCCAAGATGTACTTATGTATGTATGCATTTACAGACTTAATTTGTAAACTCTGTTATATAATGCTGTGCTCTATGATAGAAAATCCAAAGAGAAGACAGCAGTACTAACCCCATGCACCTCCTCCTGTATGAATCTGACTTGGTGTAATAGTCAGTGTGGGATAAGAAGCCATAATTTCCTTTTTGCTTACCTGGTTTGATTAATCTGACCTATCATGCTTGCAAATGCATCCTAAACAAAAACAGGATGTTCCTACGTTACTGTTCTTACTACCTTGGCAATGTCACGAAGTTCCTTTGTAGGTTAACACTTGTCACTTCTCATTCCGTTTCTCATTACCCTGCAATTTTTTGCTATGTAATTTTTAAGCTAGTCCATTCACTCACTTCATCTACTTAAGGAATTTGGGAAATTCTGCACTCTGTGCACACTGTACTCGGGAATAAAAAAATCTTGCTAGGTCCAACAGAGTGAATAATCATCTTCATAGTTATTTATGCAGAGTGCTTAGCTTAATAGAGCTTTAATTCCTGGCTAGAGGCCAGGATCGTTATTGTAGTATGGTCTAATATAAATGTCTGTTTAAGAACTTGAAATTAATTTTCCACTAATATTCTCCAATGACTATATAAAAAATGTAGTGTTTTTGGGAACAGCCCTACA